TCGGCTCGCGGACAGGCTACTAGGCCGGTCTGATGATGCCACCGAACTCGGCAATGTCCGTAGGCAGAGCGAGCATGAGATGAAGCGATGCCTCAACTGGTGGGATCTCACCTGGTTTGGCTTCGGCTCTGTCATTGGTGCAGGCATCTTCGTCCTCACCGGTCAAGAAGCCCATGATCACGCAGGACCTGCCATTGTTCTCTCTTATGTTGCCTCTGGCATCTCTGCCATGCTTTCTGTCTTTTGTTACACTGAGTTTGCTGTTGAAATACCAGTTGCAGGTGGCTCCTTCGCTTATTTGCGCGTGGAGCTGGGCGACTTTGCAGCATTCATAGCGGCGGCAAACTTGATTCTTGAAAGCATTATTGGTACAGCTGCAGTAGCGAGGTCATGGACTTCGTACCTAGCAACCCTCCTAAATCGAACCCCAAATTCATTAAGAATCCGTACCAATCTTGCGAAGGACTTCAACCTGCTGGATCCAATTGCAGTTGTCGTACTCATAACCACTTCAACCATTGCAATTTTAAGCACAAAGAAGACGTCTTACTTCAACTGGATTGCTTCGGCTATCCACTCAATTGTCATAGTTTTTGTCATAGTAGCTGGCTTTGCCCATGCTAACACCAATAACTTGGCACCCTTTCTCCCTCATGGAGTCCAAGGCGTATTTCGAGCAGCTGCTATCGTCTACTTTGCCTATGGTGGATTCGACAACATTGCCACGATGGCAGAAGAAACAAGAAACCCTTCAAGGGACATACCGCTAGGTCTATTAGGCTCAATGTCAATCATCACAGCAATATATTGCTTGATGGCACTTGCGCTGAGCATGATGCAGAAGTACACAGAGATTGACCCAAATGCAGCCTACTCTGTTGCCTTCAAAAGTGTAGGAATGAAGTGGGCACAATATCTTGTGGCCCTTGGTGCGCTCAAGGGGATGACAACGGTTCTTCTTGTCGGTGCACTCGGGCAAGCTCGGTACACCACTCACATAGCAAGAAGTCACATAATTCCTCCTATTTTTGCCCTAGTTCACCCAAAGACAGGTACGCCGGTCTACGCAACTCTTCTGATTACTATTTGTAGTGCCTGCATTGCTTTGTTCTCGAGCCTGGATGTGTTGGCGAGCTTGTTATCAATAAGCACGCTCTTCATCTTTATGATGATGGCAACAGCACTTCTAGTGAGGAGATACTATGCAAGGGGAGTCTCAACCCAAAGAGACCTGTTGAAGCTAGTGATTTGCCTAGTATTCATCATTGGTTCATCAATGGGCACTTCAGCTTATTGGGGGTTGAGACCTCACGGATGGATTGGGTATCTAATTACTGTTCCATTGTGGGTTGTGGGAACATTGGGGATTCAAGTATTTCTTCCCCAAAGACATAGTCCAAAGGTGTGGGGAGTTCCTTTGGTGCCGTGGATTCCATCTTTGTCTATTTCCACGAATCTATTTCTCATGGGGTCTTTGGGAGCTGATGCATTCATAAGGTTTGGCATCTGTACAGGCATAATGATTATTTACTATGTGTTCTTTGGGGTTCATGCAACTTATGACATGGCCCACGGGCGATGCGATAAGCTGGATGAAATGGAAGTACAGAAGAATGGTGACATCAAGAGAGAAGAAGAACCAGGTCCTTGAAGAGTGAAGTGCAAAAGCGTGTGGTGTGACTTTTCTAGTTCTTTCTGATCATGAATAAGATGTGGTTTGTTCGTAGCAAGAATGTTCCTAATCCAGTGTATATACAGATAACTAAGATATTTACTGAAAGTTAGAAAGAACGTAATAAAATCTTCAACTATCTGAGAAACTAACATGTCGAAACTTTTTCTGCAGTTCTCGACTCATGAATAACCTTTGAATTCAGTATTCACTTTCAGGCTACCCACCCACAGAAATATTCTCAGCGGTAGTGTATCCCTTACTGTCTGAAGCTCTCCTTTTGCTTTCATCCTCCTCTTTTACTCAATATTTCAGTACATACAGTGGCTCCTTCTTTGACCTAAGTTACATCCTTAATGAAAAAAATGATGGTACATGTACAACCACAGTTAAGCGATGCACTTTAGTAGGAGCAAGTAAGTTTCGTAAACTAACCCATTGCTGCTGTTGTCAAACCCCAAGCCTCGTCTGTCTATAGAATTTACCAATTTCTGCAGGCGTTAAAATGTAAGGATCCAATTAGTCCCATGCTGACTAAATGCGGAATCAACTATGGGTTTATAGTGATTGGGTTCCTCTGACAGTTATTTTTAAGTTTCTAATGATATAAGATCGTACACGAAATTCCCAGTAGCAGAGCGGAGCTCAAAAGTTCTCTCAAGATAACTCATTTATAACTAGAAGAACAGCTAATGTCACATAGTTTGGTTTAGGGGTAGAATCAAACTTGAACCCTAAACGTATTTCTCCACTAGAAAACTCTGCCCACAATGCAAAGTCTCCTCCTTTGATCATTGACACAAACAACGAACTAAAAGGAAATTCCAGTAACATTGCATACAATCTCGAAGAATCTTCTGAAAAAAACAAGAGGAGCATTCTAGAGTTCTATCAAACACATCATGTTGTCTGTCGTTCTAAAATTTATTTCCAGTAAAAATTTCATAAAATTTAATAAGCTTAAAATAACCATGCTAATACGATATAAATTGAGAATGTACCTGAAATAAGAAGCTATCCTCAAGCATTTCTCATTTGGGCATTTCTGCAAACAGATGATGCGCACGTTTAATTTTCTTCAAATAAGAAAGAAATTCATGTACATTGCTGTGATTTGCAGCTGAAGAGAGAATTTACCTTTGACAACGAAGCGATTCCTGGAGCAACAGAAAATTTGAGGACTGTTTTCGGGGGAATTTAGATTCTAGGTTTTTATTTAATTCTCGGTTCAGTTCAGGTTTTGCGTGCGAATCTGGTTATGGCTCCACATTATTAATTAATTATGTAGGAATTTAAAGAGAAAAGAAAAAGTGTTACTTTTGAAATGTTAGGAGATTTCCTGTCAATCATCTAAACATAAGAAGAATTTTCTGTAATTTATCCAGTTTGCAGTCCTATGTTCATTAGTTTTTCTCTAATTTAAGGGAGTAAATACCACAAAAGTAATGGTAAAAAAAAACTTTTAAAGTTGGGAGGCGAGGAGGAATATTCTCATTTGCATAACAAAGTGAACTAATGTGTCAATAAAAAAATTTGAGAGCACATAAAGTGTTGCCGACGATTTTGCTAACAGATGTGGGTACTCTTTAGGGAAGGAGAAATGTGGAAAGAAATGAATAGCATTTGAATCTCTCCTGTATTACTTATTTTTCTTATTACCTCTCTTCTCTCTTCATCTGCATCCTTAGTTACAGACAATCTTTGCAGCTTACTAATTATATCTCTTCACTAAAATGAACCATATGAATAATATTATTTATCTAAATTATATAAAAAAAACTTTTTAATTATTGGACTTATTGAGATAAACCAATAATATTGACTCATGTAACTAGGTGTAGGCATCGCCTACAATCAAGATTGTAGAGAATCTGCACTCTCTTTCTCACGTCCTAGTGAGTGCTCATAGGGCACTTGTTAGAAAAAGCCTTGACCAACTAAGGTTACATCCCTCTGATTTTCAACTAATCTCTATTAGATTGATTCTTCTTCTTCTTCTTCTTATCTTTCAAAAAAAATCATTATTAGATTTGAGGATTGAGGTTGATAACTTTTGAGAATATCTTACTTGATTGGGCTAAAATATCATATTAGCCTATAAAGTGACACTCATATACCAATTTAGCCTATAAATTGACACCGGCAACAGTTTAACCTACAAAGTGACTTTTACGATGTCAAATTGCCATTTTCGACGTTGGAGTTCGATCTAACGGTTAAGTTATCACGCGAGTGCACATGGGCATCCGTTTTAACAGATTCTATGCTGATGTGGCAGATGGGAGATGACATGACATAGTAGTTAGTTTAATTTAAAGTTGAAGGGGTTTCAAAAATTAGGGCTTTTAAGAATTGGGGATGAAACTAGGGATTGAAGGGAATTAGGGCTTCATTGGTCTCTTCACGCTTCGCCATGCTATCATCAAGCTCTAGTATCCAGTCAATTAGCAGCATTGTAAGCTTTGGCTATAGTTTCAACAGGTTTATGTGTGTACAATGGTGGAATGAAGTAGGTAAGAGCTGTGGTTTGAAAATTTGTCGTTGCGGATTGGAGTGTGAGTTCTATACTTCGATGATAAATGATAATACAGGGAGGAGATTCTATCGCTGCCCAAAATACAACGTATGTTCTTAAATTTTATGACATTTGTGTTTCTTCAATTTTATCAGAGTGGTGATTGTAGGCTTTGGGAGTGGTTTGACGCTCCTATGTGTATGGCTGCTTCTCCACTATTTTCTCTTCTAAGAGAAGAAATTAAAGAGTTGAGGAGCACATTAAAGACAACTGATGACACTGCCAAGACCAGTTTAGTGAGTCTCGTAACGAAATTGCCAAGATGAAAGAAGATTTTGGCATGTGCCAGATTGAAACTGAATCATATATGCAAGAGTTGTTGAAATTGAGAAGAAAAAAAATTTAATGGAGAATGAAATTAAGTTGTAGATTGTGAAGATGAGAATGATGAAGAGGGTTATTTTGTATCTTGTTTTGGTTATAATTTGTTTGGGTTTGTATGTTGTTAAAAATGGGTGATTGTAAAAACAGACTTGACTCGTGTAAGAGATCATGTAATAAAATCATGTTATGTGTATGTGTGTGATGAATGTGCAACTGATATATGTTCTTCATAAAAAACCCCAAAATCTAGGCATGTGCAATATGCACAACATGTATACATGTACAACTTGTATACATGCACAAATTGTATATATACCCTTGTACATAGGCACAACTTGTATATATACACAAAACCTGAACACAATATGTACAACTTGAAAATAACCACATTGAGAATATATTGTCATTGCCAAAATTATTTTATCCACAAAAACAAGCACAAAATATATAGAAATAACAATATAGGCTAAACTGGTCATAGTTTTTCCATATTCAAATTAATCCCAAAATACATCTGAAAATATAAACGAATATGTATATTTAACCATAAATTTACAAATTAGTCCAACACTTAAGAATCATTTTGAGTTGAAGGTCCAATAAATATTGGTGGTGCTTGACTTGATCCTCTAAAAGCTATATCACCATGCTCACCCTGTCACAGTCCACAGCCTTCAGGCATGCCTATGCTACTATCTCCACCACTTCCTCTAGCTTCTGAGCTTCCCTCATGTCCATGGCCTCTACCTCTAGATCTTCCCCTTCCTCTACCCATCCCTCTAGCATTAGTTTCTGGAGCTGATTATGCTTTCATTTCTCTTCTAGTGCTGGTTCTCATGGCCTTTTTCTCTACTATTATTAAAGCTGCTATAGGGACATTGTTTCTGGTTAATTCATCTTGTGATTAACCTATTTTATTCTTCCTTCCTCTTGGTCTACCACCCTTATTTCTTGTTTGGCTTGTTGATCCTACATTGCTAGTTGAACCTCCATCATTTTCTTGAGATTGTGATACCTACATTGCAAGAAAAAAGAATATATTTGTATAGTGAATACCATTCAACTCAGTATATAGAAGTAGAAATAAACCAAATAGTGTTACTTGGTGAGTAGCTTATTTTGAATGTGGGCAATTCTTTCTAGTATGTCCACTTTCTCCACAATTAGAGTACTTTGTTGGGACTCCTGCTCTTGAAGCCTTGTTGATTTTTCTTGTCGGTTCATCAGAGTCCCTCCTTCTAGCAGTTTTGGCCTACCTAGCTTCCTCTTGACAATATTGGGTGGCAAAACCATACTCTCTCCTTCCATGTCCCAAAATTTGCTACCCTCAACATGATTCGGTAATTTATAATAACACATCATGTAAGTGTCTTTCCTATAAAAGTCAAACACATAGTCCTCAATCTTCCTTCTCATAAAGAGGATTGCAACAATGGCATGAGCACATGGGTGTTCGCGGGAAAAATCGTAGCTTTCTTCATTGTTGATATCATTGCTATCTCAGTTAACAACTTT